TTGATCTTTTTAGATGATCTGCCCATTGATATAAGTGGGGTGTTAAAGTCCCTTACTATTATTGTATTATTATTATTGATTAGTTCTTTTGTGTTTCCTATTGTTTTATGTATTTGGGTGCTCCAATGTCTGGTGCATATTTCTGACTGTTATATCTTCCTGTTGGGACTGTCCCCGTTATTATGACATAGTGCCCTTTTTTGTCCCTTGTTACAGTCTTTGTTTTAAAGTCTACTTTGTAAAAAAAAAAAAAAAAAAAAAAAAGTCTACTTTGTCCAATAGAAGTATTGCTACTCTGGCTTTCTTTTGACATCCATTTGCATGATAAATGTTCCTCCATCCCCTCACTTTTGATCTAGAGGTGTCTTCAGATTTAAAATGAGTCTCTTATAGGCAGCATATAGATAGACCTTGTTTATTTATCCATTCTGTCACCCTATGTCTTTTTGATTGGAGTAGTTAGTCCATTTATATCCAACGTAATTATTGATAGATATGTATTTATTGCCATTTCATTACTTGTTTTGTGGCTGTTTCTGAAATTTTTTTTCTGATCCTTTATTGTTTTTCTCTTTCATGGTTTGCTGATTTTCTCTAGTGACATATTCGGATTTCTTTTTCTATTTTTCTGCATATTTATTAGTAGTTTTTGATATATGGTTACCATTAGGTTTGTATTTACCTTTTCTGTATATAGCAGTCTACGTTAAGTTGACAGCTGTTTAAATCTGAACCCATTCTTTTCTCCTCTCCTCCCCATGTTTTAGGTGTATGTTATTATATTTCATATCCTTTTTTGTGAGTTCTTTGACTGTTTTTTTTGCAAAAATATTCATTTTTACTGCTTTTGTGTTTCCTACCTTCAAATTGTCACTTTTGGTATCTCTTTTCCACTCAGAGTCTCCTTTAATATTTCTTGCAGGGCTGGTTTAGTGGTCGTGAACTCCTTTAGTTGTTGTTTGTCTGGAAAACTCTTTATCATCCTTCTATTCTGAATGAGAGTCTTGCTGGATAGAATATTCTTGGCTGCAGATTTTTCCCACTCAGCACTTTGAATATATCATACCACTCCCTTCTGGCTTGCCAAGTTTCTGTTGAAAAATCTCCTGCTAGCCTTATGGGTTTTCCTCTGTATGTTACTGACTTCTTTTGTCTTGCTGCTTTTAAGATTTTTTTATCACTTTATTTTGCAATTTAATCACAATCTGTCTTGGTGTGGGCCTGCTTTTGTTGATTTTGATGGGAGTTCTCTCTGCTTCCTAGATCTGCATGTTTGTTTCCTTCCCTAGATTAGGGAAGTTTTCAGCTATTATTTCTTCAAATACATTTTCTGTCCCCTTTTCTCACTCTTCTTACTCTGGGACTCCTAAAATACAAACGTTATTACATTTGATGGAATCACTGAGATCCCTAAGTCTATTTTCATTTTGTGTAATTCTTTCTTTTGTTCAGCTTCACTGGTTTGCATTACTTTGTCTTCTAGGTCATTAATTCATTCCTCTGCTTCTTCCAGCCTGCTGTTTATTGTATCAAGTGTGTTTCTAATCTTCTTTATTGCACTCTTCATCTCTAACTCTTTTAACTTTTATCTCTGTGGTAAGGTCTCAGTGATGTCCTCCATTGTTTTCTAAAGTCCAGTATCTTTATGATCATAGCTTTAAATTCTCCATCAGACATATTATTTATATCTATTTTGCTTAGATCTCTGGCCGTGGCCTTATCTTGTTCTTTCACCTAGGATAAATTCTTCTGTCTTCTCATTTTGTCTAAGTCTCTGCCTTCTTCTGTGTTAGAAAAGCCATTTATGTAACCTGCTCCTGAGAGTAATGGCCTTATGAAGAAGAGGGCATGTAGTGCCCAGGGCCTGGCACACCAGGGAATGTCTCCAGGGTGTGCTGCCTGGGCTCTGCTGTTGTATCTGGTTGCTCTGTCCTTCAGGCCAGTCATCTACAAAGGCTCTCCTTGCCTGCTGTGGGAAGTGTTTGATCCCTGGCCTGAATGTGCTAAGTTTTCACTAGGTTTGCTTTGGTCTGCTTGTGAAATGAGACCCATCACCACCTCCACTGAAACTGAGGCCCTGTAAAACTCCCTGGTCAGGAGCCATGGTATGGGCAAGGGTTTGTGCTAGTCTTTGGGGGGAAGGGCCACCACACTACAGCTGAGGTAAGTGTGACTGAGAAGGGCAGTTCCACCAGTGCACCTGGGGGTGGGGCTTGGTGGAATCAAGTTACGCAGCCAGTATCTTCCCATAAGTGGCTCTGTGTTTATGCTGAGGGGCCAGGGAGGGAAATGGTGTTGGCCAGCTCCTTTTGTTCTCAGAGAGGTCTCTCCATGAATGCTCTCTGGGCTGCATTCCAAGAAGAGCAAATAACCTCCCCACTGTGTGCCCCAAGCACTCTTCATATTGCTGTTTCCACACCATCTGCCCCTGGGTTGTTTGCCTACCTTCTTTCCAAGAGCAGCACAGTACCCTCTAGGCTCTATTCCAGCCAAGCCTGCTGACCTTTAAAACTCCAGTCTTCAAGCCCTGCTGGTTCCAAGAACTCATGAAATTTAGTCCCTCTCATTTTCCAAGCCAATGGCTATGGGTAGATGTTCTCCTTGTGCATTCCCCTGTGTGCTCCTCTCTCTCTCTTGCCCTTCTCTGTGACCATGGCTACCTCTCCTCTGCAGCAGCCAGGATTCATTTCTTCCCTAAACCACATCTCCACACTTCCTACCTTCTTCAGTGTGGCCTCGTCTCTCCTTTTAATTTTGGAGTTTGTTTTGTCAGCCTTCAGTTCGATTTAGTATTTAGTATGATTTGACAGTTATCTAGTTGTATTCATGGGACAAGATAAGCCTAGAACCCTTCTACTTCACCACCATCTTCCTGTCTCTGGCATCACTTCATTTTTTAATATACCAAGACTGAAAAAGTTGAAAGAGATTGAAACTCTTGACCTTTTTAAGTGTGGACAGAATGTCTCAGATTTAATATTCAAGTAGGTGAAAGGACTCAGATAACAGGGAGCATACCTTTTACTTTTATCCTACTAAGTATTTAATAATTAGTTATCTAACACATTAGTCCATTTTTTAAAAAGATTTTATTTATTTATTTAGAGAGAGCACAAGCAGGAGGAAGGGTAGAGGGAGAGAGAGAGAGAATCTCGAGCAGACTCTGTGCTGAGCATGTGGAGCTCAACACCATGCTCAGTCTCACGACCCTGAGATCATGACCTGAGCAGAAACCAAGAGGCTTACACTTAACTGACTGAGACACGCAGGTGCCTTAATAGCCCATTTCTAAATAACAGCTTTTATGCAAACTGATTTGCTTGCATTCCTGGTTTCTTCTGCACATTTGACTTGAATGTGAAAAGCCTAAAATGAGTGTTTTGTGGTATCATGTAAAAACTTTCACCTTCATCCTTTCTACTAACCCTTTCCAGAGAGTCTACATTTTTAAAGCTTCTTTCCTTTACTAGAAGCACTTCCCATTCCATCTGAACCCATCATTCCTGTCGCTGGAAAATATCAGTGGTCTAGGAACTAGGGTTTTAGCCAGATCATCTTTTTCTTCTACAAAGTCATTTTCAGCAATAGCTTAATTATACATTTGATTCCAAAATAATGGAGTTATAAATGAGTCATAATTTTTGATATTATAAGCGTGGGCTAAAGATTAGAATCATTTTGCTTCAGAAATGTAGACTTGATGACAAGGCATAAATTTAACATTAATGAACCATTAACTGTACTATACTGTTTGGGACACAACCAAATTTCCACAATTTGGGTATTTTCATTTAGATATGCACTGTATAGTCACATTCATAAACCAAAGATGAGTGAACACAGAGCTCTGTAGTTCAGTCTATAATCAAAATACTTGAGTCATTTGGGTAAGATCACTTAAAAAGAGTGTTTATCCACTTCTGATTTAAGATGGAGGGTATTAATCTGCAATAAGTAGGAAAATGGAAAAAATTAAGACTACAAGAAACTAAAATTCCCACCAAATGATTGGTCTATAGATCCATAAAGAAACTAGTTTTCATATAAATTAAACACCCATGATGTGCCCAAAAGAACAAAAAAGTTGAAAAGTAAATATAAAAATTTAGAAAATATGTTTTCCTTAGAAAATAAAGTCCCTGGGGGCGCCTGGGTGGCTCAGTTATTAAGTGTCTGCCTTCGGCTCAGGTCATGATCCCATGGTCCTGGGATCGAGCCCTCCATCGGGCTCCCTGCTCCATGGGAAAGCCTGCTTCTCCCTCTCCCACTCCCCCTGCTTGTGTTCCCTCTCTTGCTGTGTCTCTCTGTCAAATAAATAAATAAAATCTTTAACAAACAAACAAACAAAGAAAATAAAGTCCCTGTTGGATTCAACTTTCTTCATGTTTTATAAAAATATATGCATTTTTATAAATGCCAGAAATATTTAATGAAATAATTAATGTGTAAAGTTCCTAAGGTAATTCATTCTACACTGAATTCTAAGAGCTTAGAGAATAGTTAATAAAATGAAGCTGTAATCATTTAAGTTTTTATGATGACATGTGCATCAATCTGTTGTAATTATGAAAGAAAATAATAGCACATCTTTAGGTTCAAAATTTTTCTCCAGGCTGTTTCTTAAAATAATCACAAATACAGCAATTTTGGTCTTAGAAAGGAACCTATAGCTAGTGAATGAGTTTCTTCAGTTCTTTAAGGACTAACTGTCTTAAAATAACATTTCCTTTTCTTAGAAATAACAGCTTTCAATGAAGCTGTGGAAATCTGACATGATACTTGCTGCAGTTGGGGAAAAGAGGAACATAAGAGAAAATATAGATGGATGCAGATCAATAATAAATAACAGGTCAGTAATAAAATTATGTTCTTAAGGGAAACTTATTTTTTCAAAGCAAAAAAATAAGGAAAAAAAACATGTTAGTAGCCTTCTGGAATTCACAGAAACTTGGCCACATGTTCAAATCACCCACAAAAACACATTTAAAAAGAGTACTCACCACTGAATTATTTCTGTGATTTGGGCTTCCCAATGTGCAACTGATTCTTTCTTGTCTGCTAGGTCTTTTACCTCTTCTTCTAACTGCTGGTTGCGCATACTTAAGTTCTCAAACAAAGTGGTGAGCTGAAAGGCAGTTTTAAGACACTTAAAGACGTATGTGACTTTTAGGAACAGGAATGCAAGGTGCTCAGATGCAACTTGTTAGAGCTGCTTACTTACCATATTCCACTAAAAAATGCTTGTCTTCCTGATTTCTTCTTATATACCCTTCTGGTCACTGAATTTGGAAACATCAAGTATTCTGAATTCTCCTCTGCCTTTGCTTTCCCTTACTCCCTACACTGAATTGGTTCCATTTGTGAACATTCTCCAGTTGCCTGAAAACTCCTCAGGTTCTACTGGTAACAACATCTCTCATTTTTTGTTTTTTTGTTTGTTTTGTTTTTTGGGGGGGTTTGTAAATGTCTCCATGTCATCTTTTTTAAAATAAAATCTTACAAAGTATTTCAAGTATATGCAAAAATGGACAGTATAAGTTAATTCCCATGAGCCCACAGCCAACTTCAACAATTACTTTAATGCCAGTCATTGCATTTGTATCCTGTCTTCTTACCTCTTCCTCCTGAATTATTCCAAAGTGAATACCAGACATCTATAATTTTACCCATATATATTTCTGTGTATATCTCCTGCAAATAAGGCTCTCTCTTTCAAAAGATAACATTATCATACTTAAAAAATTTAATGAGTTTCCTTATATCATCACATAGGTAGTAACTGTTCAAATTTCAAGGTATCTCAAAATATCAAAAAGCTTAACAGTTTATTAAATTGAATTGTGATACCAACAAGTAACCACAGCTTAATGGTTCCTATATCTTTTAAGTCTCTTTTATTTATAGGCTCTTAGTCCAGTCAGGCCCCTATACTAGAATACAAGAGGCTGGGTAGTTTAAGTATGAAACATTTATTGCTCACAGTCTGGATGCTAGAGAGTCCAAGATCAAGGTGCCAGCAGATTCAGTGTCTGGTGAGATCTGCTCTTGGTTCACAGGTGGCTGTCTTCTGGCTGCCATCCTCAGAGGGTGGGAGGTGTGAGTGGGCTCTCCAGGGTTGCTTTCATAAGGATAATATACCACCATGAGGGTGCCACCTCACAACTTAATCACCTCCCAAAAGCAGCACCTCCTCCTACAATCACACTGGGGGGTAGGTTTCAACATGTGAATTTTGGAGGGCCACAAACATTCTGTCCATAGCAGTTCCCCTCCAGCACTTTTATTTTTCTTGTAATTTATTTGTTAAAGAAAATAGGTTGTTTGTCCTGCAGAGTTTTCTATAGTCTCAATTTCTGCTTTCATTTCTGACAGACGTTTTTTGTCATATAGGACATTCCAGGTTGGCAATTATTATCCTCTAGCACTTTGAAAATGGCATTCCTTTTTAGTCCCCGTTTTGATTCCTTTTTGGAAATCCATTTTTTTTCTGTTGGGAAGTTAACTAACTTTCAGTTTAACTTTTGCTCATTTGAATATAATGTGACTTTCTTCTCTGGTTGCTTTTAGGATTCTCCTTGGTTGCTGGTTTTCAGCAGTTTTTCTATGATGTCCCTAAGTGGGATTTAATTTCTATTTATCACCTTTAGGATTTGTGGCATTTCCTGAATTTGTACCTAAATGTTTCTCATAGGTTTTGGAAAATTATGGGCCATTAATTCCTCAAATACTGCTTCTGCCACAGTCTATCGATCCTCTCCACCTGGGAGAGCAAGTATTTGTATGTAAGATCTTTTCATCACGTCCCCTTGGTCTCTGCCCTCTTTTATGTATTTCCATCCTTTTAATTAATCTCTACCCATACTTTAGTCTGAAATTTTTTTATTTACATACTCTTTTCTTCAGCTCTTTCCAGTCTGCTGTTAAAATCTATTTGGTATTTCGGTTATTTTAGTTTTTACTTCTAGAAGTTCTATTTGACTCTTTTGTATACACTCCAGTTGTCTGCTGAAATTCCTCATGTCTTAAATTTTCTATCATACAATTATAAAATTTCATTTATGGAAATTCTGACCGGAATCCCTGTGGGCTTGCTTATACAGACTGCATAGTTTTTTGTTTTTTTTTTTCTTTCCTTATTTTGTTTTTGCTATTTTATTTTTACTCTTGGTTTTCAGTGATTTAGTTGTATCTCTTGGTATGCATGGTAATTGTTTTAATGTATGCCACACATTTTGCATAAAAATTTTAGAGGTAATTTGAGGATCTGTATATAGTATCTTCCTCCAGAAAGTATTTACCTTTACTTCTGGCAGACATTTAGATTCAAGATAGGTCAGGTATTGAGTTACTTGGAGGCTAGGTTTCAGTCAGTGAGAGGTCTCATCTCTTTCTGGTTCACTCTTTTTTTTTTTTTTTTTAAGATTTATTTATTTATTTGACAGAGAGAAACACAGTGAGAGAGGGAACACAAGCAGAGGAGTGCGGTGAGGGAGAAGCAGGCTTCACGCCGAGCAGGGAGCCCGATGCAGGGCTCGATCCCAGGACCCTGGGATCATGACCTGAGCAGAAGGCAGACGCTTAACCGACTGAGCCACCCAGACGCCCTTTTCTGGTTCACTCTTATTCCTAAAATGTAGCCTTTCAATGAGTCCAACTGTAAGTTTGTATTCATCTCTTCAAACTTGTGGGACTGTGGAATACTGTGCTCAGCTTCCTGGATCCTCAGCTACTGCTTTCATATCAGCAAATGCCTCAAGAGGAAAAGCGGCATTGAGTCCTGGGCTCATCTCTCTGCACTACTCCTCTATAGGATCTTGGTCAGTGATGACGGCTGCCTTCTTCTCTCTCCAATGCCTTCCTGCAGATAAACACTGTAGGAAATAGTCCCACCATGTTGACAATTTTTTAAAAAATCCAGCTTTTGGTGAGGTGGTGGGTATGAGGTAAACTAATCTGCTATAGAAGCAAAAGTTACTGCTTTAATAAGTTTTTAAAAATTTATGATAAAATATTTGCATTCAATTTTCATTTCATGGCTATAGTTTTTCTGATAAATGGTCTCAATCTGCATTAGTTATTACTATTCCTTTCTTGTTTTTTGGTATGTTTATAGAGATACTGTGTTCCTGTGTTCATTTCTTTTTGATTACTCAACCTGAAGAAGACAAGTGTTTCCTAGAAGAGCTATTTACAAGTTTGTGGGGATGAGAGGCCAAGTGATGGTTAATTTTCTGTGTTAACCTGACTGGGTCTTAGGGTGCCAACAAGCGTGATCAAACATTACTCTGGGTGTGTCTGTGAAGGTGTCTCTGGATGAAATTAACATCTGAATCAGGAGACTGAATAAAGCAGATTGCCCTCCCTAACACAGTGGCCCCAACCAATTAGCTAAAGGCCTGCAGAACAAAAAGGCTGACCCTAGGGAGTAGGTGAATTTGAGGGAACTTCTCCCGCCTAAATTCCTTCAAGCTGGGAGGTTAGTTTTTCCTGCTTTTGGACTCTTATGGAAACAGCAGCTCTTCCTGGGTCTCAAGCCCTTTGGACGTGGACTGAAACTATATCATAGGCTCTTTTGGGTCTCCAGACTGCAAACTACAGCTCTTAGGACTTGTCAGACTCCATAATCAGGTGAGCAAATTCCTTACAATAAATGTCTTTACACATACGTGTGTGTGTGTATATATATATGTGTCTGTGTGTATGTTTGGTTCAGTTTCTAATACAGGCTAAAGCCATGTTCTAAGTCAGGGGTCTGCAAACTTTCCAATAAAGAATTAGGTGGTACATATTTTTGTCTTTGTGGGACACACACAGCCTCCATCACATCTTGTTCTTCTTACAAAAACTTATTTAGAAGTTATATAAAAATTCTTCTTAGTTCATGGGTCTTAGTCTGAGAGTCAGATCTGGCTCAGGTCACAGTGTGCCAGTTCCCTCATTTAAATTGATCAGGAATCCTCCTAGTGACCTAGGGTTGTTCTCATGTGTTTTTGGCCTTTACTTCTGTGAGACATAGACAGTTTTGGCACAAGTCACAATGCAGTTTTATTTCTTTCCCTCTACCAAAGGAGCACAGCTGTAATTCCCTGTTTACCCTACCTCCAACCTCACTGTCTTCTCAGAAAGCAATGAGATCCAGAGAAGCTACTGGTGCCAACATACACCCTTACTTGTCCATCGAGAATAAGGGATTGAAGTTCTGTACCTCAGGGTGTGCCACTCACCTCTGAAAATGTACTTTACCAGCTATTTTCTCTTTATAGATTTACTGAGGTATAATTTACATACAATAAAATTTATTCATTACAAGTGTATGGTTCAAGGATTTTTAATTTAATTTTATTATGTTACGTTAGTCCCCATAAAGTACATCATTAGTTTTTGATGTAGTGTTCCATGATTCATTATTTTCGAATAACACCCAGTGCTCCATGCAATATGTGTCCTCCTTAATACCCATCACCAGGCTAACCCATTCCCCCACCCCACTCCCCTCTAAAACCCTCAGTTTGTTTCTCGGAGTCCATAGTCTCTCATGGTTCGTCTCACCCTCCGATGTCCCCACCTTCATTTTCCCCTTCCTTCTCCTAAGGTCCTCCATGCTATTCCTCATGTTCTACAAATAAGTGAAACCATATGATAATTGACTTTCTCTGCTTGACTTATTTCACTTAGCATAATCTCCTCCAGTCCCATCCATGTTGATGTGAAAGTTGGGTATTCATCATTTCTGATGGCTGAGTAATATCGCATTGTATATATGGACCACATCTTCTTTATCCATTCATCTGTTGAAGGGCATCTCGGCTCTTTCCACAGTTTGGCTAGCCAAACTGGATTTTTAATAAATTTAAACAGCTGCGCAACAATCACCACAATCCAGTTCTGGTACAGGAGAAATTTCCCCACTGCTGGTTTGCAGTCAGTCCTGGCTTCAACCTGAGTTCCATGCATTGCTGATCTGTTTTCTGTTTCTATACTTTGGCTTTTCCAAGAAATTTAATACCAATTAAATCCTATAACATGTAGAGTTTTTTTTGTCTTTCACTCATCACAATATTGAGGTTCAACCACAGTATTGTGTGAATCAGAAATTCACTCCTTTTTCCAGCTGAGTAGTATTCTATCATATGGATAATAGTAAACTTCATTTGCTTGTTCACTAGCTGATGAGCACTGGTACTGTTCCCAGTTGTTTGCTATTGTGAATAATGACCCTATGAACATTCATACATAAGTTTTTAAAAGGACTGTTTTCAGTTCTCTTAAATAAATATCTACAAGAATTTCTGGGTCACATGGTAAGGGTATGCTTATCTTTTTGAGAACCTTTGAAACTATTTTCTGAAGTAGTTATACCACCACCAGATGCTCCTACAAGCAGTGCAGGAGTTCTAGTTCTGCCATATCCTTGCCAAAAGTTGGTATGGTCACTCTTACTGATTCCACTTGTTCTTGAGGGTGTACAGCGGTATGTAACTGTGGTTTTAGTTCACATTTTCCTAATGACATTGAACATCTTTTTACGTGCCTGTCATTCATATGTCTTTCATGAAATGTCTACTCAAATTTTCCCATTTTTTTCACTGGGTTATTTGCATTATTTCTTATTCTTGAGTTTTAAGTTCTTTCTATATTTTAAATATGTTTCTTATCAGGTAAGTGATCTGCAAATGTTTCCTCCTCATCTGTGTATGTCTTTTAGTTTTCTTAATGTTGTCTTTAGATGTGATGAAGTACAATTTATTATTTTTCTCTCATGGGTTGTACTTTTAATTTATATCTATGAAATTTTTGACTAACCCTAAATCATGAAGATTTTCTCCTATGATTATCTCTCACATTTCTGTTTATGATCCACTTTGAGTTAATGCTTTTATATGGTATAAAAATTTAAGTTAATTTTTTTGCACATGGATATCCAAGTGTTCCAGCACCATTTGTTGAAAAGATTATTCTTCTCCCTTTGAATTGCATTGGCACTTTGGCTGAAAATCAATTGGCCATAAATATGAGGGCTTATTTTTAGACCATTAATCTATGGTTCCATCATGCCAGTACTATTAGTAAGTTTCCAAAGACTGTCAGGTAAATCCTCCAATTTTTGTTGCACAAGGCTATTATAGGTCTTTTGTATTCCCAAATAAATTTAAGGATGAGCATCTCAATTCCAGAGCCTACCGGAATTTTGATAGGGATTTCCCTGAATTTATACATTAGAGAACTGAGGTCCTAACAATTCCAAGTCTTTCAATCCATTAGCAGGGTACATCTCTCCATTTGTTTAGATATTCCTTCATTTATCTCATCAATGTTTTGTAGTGGTCTTCCTCTGGTTAATTCCCAGAGCTCCAAAATGGTTGTTTTTGACAATTGGGTGCACTTTGAAAAATTTTTTTTTTCTTGAGAGGATTCATCAATCTCTTCATGTTAGCATAGACAGAAGTTTATCGGCTGTTTTTGGGAAAATTTTTTGCAGATGCAATGTCTTCACTAATTCCTACAACACATTATTTTTTATTATCATTGCTTTTGACAACCCTCCCAACTAATTTGTGAGTGAGGTCAGCTAGACATCTGCAGGAAGGACAGGAAACACAGATTTTGCAAGGCTGTGTTACAATAGTTACAAGTAGTTTTAAGTAGACTTGTTCAGTATTAGAGAAATGCTAATCTTTTCATTATTACTGAATAAAAGCATGGACTCTGGAACCAGACTGCCTGTATTCAAATTCCATCTGGCCACTTCCTAGTTCTCTGATTAGGAAAGGAGTCTCATCCCCCTCTGCCTCAGTCTCCTCATCTACAAGATGGCAAGAGTAATAGGGAACACCTCACAGAGTTTTTGTGAGGCTTAAATGATTTATATAAAGTAACTCAGAAGAGGACCTGTCCTCAGTAAATTCTAGCCAAGTATTAGTTCATTTTGCTTGTTTGGGAATGAGAATCAGGTTTTACTATTTGTACCTTGACATATCTGGCTTATAGGATGGAACAGTAGTATAGTATAGAATATGGAAACATGCTCATGACATTTTAAGTGAAAGGCATATTAGAAAACAGAATGCATGTATGACTGCACCTACGTAATAATATTTATACAAACAAAACCTGGAAAGGAACACATAAAATTAAAATAGTTGTTTTGTGGTAATGAGATCATGGGTAACTTTTATAATTTTGCTTTTTTGTAAAATAATAATTTAAGAACAAGATACAAATAATACTTTTCCTTATGGGAAGCCATTTACTTTCCCTAACATACATGGCTAATTTTACTTGCAATAAGTTATCTTTTAATAAAAAGTAAAACTTAACAGGGGTGCCTGGGTGGATCAGTTAAGCGTCCAACTCTTGATTTTGGCTCAGATCACGATCTCAGGGTCATGAGATCAAGCCCCACGCTGTGGAGCTCTGGGCTGGGCTTGGAGCCTGCTTAAGATTCTCTCCCTCTGCCCTTCACTCTCCCTCCACCCCCCCACTCATGTGTGCTCTCTCTTCTCTCTAAAAAAATAAATGAAACTTACCAGACTTCTGAAAATATCAATGAACTTTTTTTCGATTTCTTTTTTTTTTTTTTTGAGAGAGAGAGAGCATGAGTGGTGGGTGGAGGTGTGGAGGTGTGGAGGGAGGGGCAGAGTGAAAGAGAGAGAATCCCAAGCAGGCTCCATGCCTAGCATGGCACCTGAGTTGGGGCTTGATCTCACGACCCTGAGATCATGACCTGAGCAGAAATCAAGACTTCTACACTTAACTGATTGAGTCACCCAGGCACCCCTTTGTAATTTCCTTTTAAATTTTAATTTGTGGAGTTTAAAAATGTTGGCTAATTGAACATAATAAAAAAATGTGAATGTGAGAATCTATTCAAAGTATTAATTAAATAAATTTCAAAATTAACCTAATAGTTGTTTTCTGGCTTCTCTGCCAGAAGTTCTGCTGAGAAGAAATTCAGCTCTCCACTCAGGTTCCAGACAGAAGAGCTGGTAGAGCAACGGCAAAAGTATTCTTTGGTTATCCCTCTTGGTGAAAAAACACAGTTCAAACCAAACCAGAAAATGACTGAACAGAAAGAAACAATGAAGATGCTCAGTTAAGGTGAACTGAGAGTTAAGGAGGAAGAGAAGCAAATGCTGTAAAAGGAACAAATATAGGGAAGAAGCTTAAAAGGTAGCAGAACCCAGATCCATCTCTATTTCTCCAGGAATAAATATTTCCTTGTTATCATTTGTCATTAAATATTTACCCACCATACAAATTTGCTCTCAAAGTTCTACTAATCCTTCATCATAACTTTCAATTTAGTAAGAAAAGGTAATGTTCTACTTTTATTAACTTAGGAGACAGGTTTTTATTTTTATACTTTGCATCTCATCAGAATCAAAAAGAGTATTGCTTACAAATTATCTCTAAATATGTATTTCTGGAAAACTCGGCAGAACTTTATGGTTACTAATGAAATAAAACCAAGGGATGAATACAAGATTTGATCTACATTCAATTTGATTATTATTTATTACAATTTTTCTTGAACTATATATATTTTTTACTAAGTAATTTGTTTAGAAACTACATGCAGAGGCCTTCTAGAGTTTAATTACATTTCTTACGTCAAGGTAACTCTTAACAGAATCTTAAATTCTAATAGACAGAAATAATGTTTAATTTTACAGTCATATTAGTCAAACACATGAAATAAAAATTATGTGACCTATTTGAATAAAATTCAAATACTGTTAGTTTTATTTTAGTGGAAATAACTAAGAGTTACACAATCACCTTCATATACTCTTTGTACTATAAACAAAACATTCATACTACTTACTATCTCTGGCCACTTCCCACAGTGTCTGTGTACATCAGCTCCATAAGACTTTACAAAATGGACAAATGGAATTGTTTCTCAAACAGTTGTCAAGCAAACAAGCAAAGTCATTATTAAATGTGTAAAGAACCAAACAGTCATGAGGAAAGTAGAGAAAGATGCATGGAACACAAGGGAAAACTGACAGACAATAAAAAGTCTCTCTTTTATGACTATTTAGTCATGGTATTTCAATCTCTTATTAGAATAACTAATAACTGAACAAAATACTTTTACTGGAGGAAAATCCTAGAAATCATTATAAAACACAATTACCCAAATGTTCTTAATTAAATATAAATAAGACTATTAAAACATCTGGATAATATTAGGATTTTTACAACTGTTTGTTAAGAACTGACAAAAGAAATGCAGAATAATGGCAGTTCAAGAAATCTCAGCTACTAAACAGGAAAACATTCCTTTTAAGTATTTGACATTTTGTTCACAAATCTGGCTGAGTCTAAGTTTAATCTATGGTTCTGCTCTTTACTCAAGCTACAGCGGTTTAGGCAGAGCTGGTTTCCCTGGATTCCTACCTACCAATGATATTATTTCTAGCTACTCGCAGTTCTCCAGCATGAATAGGACATCATAGTTGTCAAAACTTCTCCAGTTTGGCCTAAATATTCCTGCTCTTCTTGCCAATGGCCAGCTTAACTCCAACAGCCATGAAAGAGTAAGTGCTAAGTATGAGAGGAAAGAGTGAAAAAGAGAATAGATGGAAAGTGAAATAAAGAATAGAGGCTCAAAAAATAAATGGGACAAAGAATAAGATAAGTAAAACCCTCTCTTCGGAACTCCTATACAGACTGGTGTAATGAAAACTTGCCTGTACCATCTACGTAATCCTTGTGTATAAGGAGGAATAGTAAACCCAAACTGTGCATCAAACATAAAATTATTTCTACAATTTCTATCACAGTGCTGAACATCTAGCACATGCTCAGGGAATACAAATTAGATTGTATCACTCACCTTATCAAGTTCACTTGTCAGTTTTTTATTTTCTTCAGTTAATAATACTTTTTCTCGTTCATACTGTTGTTTGAACTCATTTTCAAATTCTTCCCTTTCACTTTGACTACACAATTTGAAACATAAGAGGGGGAAAAAAAGGAATGGAATTAAAGTTAAAATAATGGGATCTCTGACTGGCTACTGTACCATATGCTTTTATTCTGAAAAGTCACATATGTTAAATGTGCCAAATCCCAATCTTCCCCCTTAAAATTAAAAGTCACAATCATTCTCTTTTAATTAATAGACTTGTCTGCCTAACAACATCTACTTTGTTTTTCATTTGAAAATCTGAGAAGACATCTGTGATTTGTAGACTTCATTATTGTGCTCACCTTATTTGGTTGCATATGTACAAGAAAGTATGGGAAAATGAAGAGGTTAGGGAAAGAGGGGGATACATGGGCCCCAGCATGATTCCTTATACTCAGTTCAAGATTTCTAGCAAATCCTCAGTGAAATTTCCAATAGTTCTCTCAATATATTTAGCCCTTCCTTTCTTCTTACCTAAGTACCTACCTACCTACATACCTACCTACACACATATGCATACATACACAACAAATTTAATATTATAAAACCTATTTAAAATGATAGTTCTGAGAGGCACAACTGACTCACCCTTAGTGGTAAACACAGTGCTAACAGACTTTTTGGAAACCACCTAAGGGAGAAAGGGGAATCAGTTTTCAAACACTGAGTTGAAATGCAGATGAAGAGGCTTATATTCTAAACAACCAATGGGTCAATGAAGAAATCAAAGAAATAAAAAAAAAATACATGGAGACAAATGAAAATGAAAACACAATGGTCCAAAATCTCTGACACAGCAAAAGCAGTTCTAAGAGGGAAATATCCAGTGATACAGGTCAACTCAAGAAATAAGAAGCCCCCCAAAACAATCTAACTTTATACCTAAATGAGAGAAAAAAAAAATGAAATCCAAGGGGAGTAGAAGAAAGGAAATAATAAAGATCAGAGCAGACATACATGAAATAGAGATTAAAAAAAAAGAAAAAACCCATAATGAAATGAAGAACTGGTTCTTTGAAAAGATAAACAAAACTGATAAACCCTTACCTAGACTCATCAAGAAAAAAAGACTCAAATACATAAAATCAGAAACAAAACAGAACTGATACCACAGAAATACAAAGAATAAGAGAATACTATGAAAAATGTATGCCAACAAATTTGACAAACTAGAAGAAATGGATAAATTCCCAGAAACACACTATCTTCCAAATTGAATCAGGAAGAAACAAAAAAATCTGAACAGACCAATTACTAGTAACAAAATTTAATTGGTAATCAAAACTCTTCCCCAAAATAAAAGTCCAGGCCACAGCAAACATCCTCCATAATGGAGAAAAACTGAGAGCTTTTCCTGTAAGGATGTCCACTCTTACCACTTTGATTCAACATAGTACTGGAAGTTGTAGCCACAGCAATCAGACAAAGAAAAAAGGGGGGGATATGAGGATCCATACTGGTAAGGAAGAAGTTAAACTGTCACTATTTGCAGATGACATGATACCAATACTAGAAAACCCTGAAGACTCCACTAAAAAAAACTACTGAAATAAATGAATTCAGTAAAGTTGCAGGATACAAAATTAATACCCAGAAATTGGTAGCATTTCACTAATACACTAATAACAAAGTAGGAGAAGGAGAAATTAAGAAAACAGTTGCATTTATAACCACACGAAAAAGAATAAATAAAATAGCTAGGAATAAACTCAAACAAGGTGGTGAAAGACCTGTACTCTGAAAACTATGAAAGAAATTGAAGATGATGCAAACAAATGGAAAGACAGTCTATGCACATGGACTGGAAGAATTAATATTGCTAAAATGTCCATACTAGCCAAAACAATCTACAGATTCAGTGCAATACCCAGGAAAGTAGCAACAGCATTTTTCACAGAACTAGAACATGTAATACTAATATTTGTATGGCACCACAAAAGACCCCAAGCCAAAGCAGTCTTGAGGAACAAGAACAAAGCTGGAGGCGTACTACAAGATTTCAATACTACAAAGCTGTAGTAATTAAAGCAGTAAGGTACTGACTCAAAAATAAACACAAGGATCAATGGAACAGAGAACCCAGAAATAAACCCACACTTATATGATGAATTAATCTATGAGAAAGAAGGCAAGAATATACAATGGGGAAAAGATAGTCTCTTCAATAAATGGTGCTGGGAAAGCTGGACAGCCACATGCAAAAGAATGAAACTGGACCACTTTCCCACACCATACACAAAAATAAAATAAAAACGGATTGAAGATCTAAATGTGAGACCTGATAAAATTCCTAGAAAAGAACACAGGCAGTAATTTCTCTGACATTGGTCATAGCAACATTTTTTTTTAGATATGCCTAAGACAAGGGAAACAAAAGCAAAAATAAACTGTTGGGACTACATCAAAATAAAAAACTTGCACAGGAAACCATCATCAAAACGAAAAGGCAAACTACTGAATGGGTGAAGATATTTACAAGTGACATATCTGATAAGGGATTAATATCCAAAATATACAAAGAACGTATACAAGTCAACACCAAAAAACCCCCAAGTAATCCAATTAAAAAATGGGAAGAAGACCTGAATAGACATTTTTCTAAAGACAACATACAGACAGCCAACAGACACATGAAAAGATGCTCAACACATTGATCATCAGGGAAATGCAAGTCAAAACCACGATAAGATATCACCTCACACTTGTCAGAATGGCTAACATAAAAAAGACAAGAAATAAGTGATGGCAAAGATGTGGAAAAAAAAGGAACCCTTTTGTGGGAACACAAACCAGTGCAGTCATGGTGGAAAACAGTACAGAGGTGCCTCAAAAAATTAAAAGTAGAAATGATCCAGTTATTCCACTATTGGGTATTTACCTGAGGAAAATGAAAACACTAATTTGAAAAGATATATGCACCCTTATGTTTACTGTAGCATTATTTACAAAGCAAAGATATGGAAGCAAGCTAAGTGTCCATCAATAGGCAAATGGATAAGGGAGATGTGGTATATACATACACAATGGACTATTACACAGCCATAAAAAGGGATGAGATCTTGCCATTTGTGGTAACATGGATGGGCCTAAAGGGTAGTAAGCTAACAAACCAAAAGCAGAATCAGACCCATAAATACAGAGAACTGATGGTTGCCAGAAGGGAAGGGGGGTGGAGGGTGGGAAAATGGGTGAAGCAGAGCAGGAGGTGCCAGTTATGGAATGAATAAGATATAGAAATAAAAGGCACAGCCTAGGGAATCTAGTCAATGATACTGTAATGGTGTCATACAGTCACAGATGGTAGCTACACTGGTGAGCACAGCATAACCTATAGAGAATCACCATGTTGTACACCTGAAACTAAGGTAACACTGTGTGTCACCTTACATTCAATAAAAAAAATTTAAAGAGGTTTATATCTTAGCAGTAAATGGAATTCTATGTGGATCTCTTCTGGGTAATTTCATATGATTGATTCCAAGTCAACAAAGAACCTGAATAATGGCTGATTTTAAAAATGTAATCTTAAAAACGTCTTTTTTTTTTTTAAAGATTTTATTTATTTATTTGACAGAGAGAGAGAGAGAGACAGCGAGAAAGGGAACACAAGCAGGGGGAGGGGGAGTGGGAGAGGGAGAAGCAGGCCTCCCGCCAAGCAGGGAGCCCGATGTGGAGCTCGATCCCAGGACCCTGGGATCATGACCTGAGCCAAAGGCAGACGCTTAACGACTGAGCCACCCAGGCGCCCCTAATCTTAAAAACTTCTTACATCACTATATTAGTGAATATAAATGAAATTATATTTTAAATTATAAATTCTGGGGGAAAAAACCATCCTGTGTGCAGGCAAACATGCCACTTTAAAAAAAATTATCAATAGTCAAAATTTAGTTATGTTTGCACCCCAATGTTTATAGCAACAATGCCCACAATGGCCAAAATATGGAAAGAGCCCAGATGTCCACTGATGGATGAGTGGATAAAGAAGATGTGTATACATACACACATGCGCGTGCGCACAAACACACACTGGAATATTACTCACCCATCAAAAAGAAATGGAATCTTGCCATTTGCAATGATGTGGATGGAGCTGGAATGTATTATGCTAAGCAAAATAAGTCAGTCAAAGACAAATACCATATGATTTCACTCATATGTGGAATTTAACAAAACAGAGGATCATAGGGAAATGAAAGAAAAAATAAAGTAAGATGAAAACAGAGAGGGAGACAAACCACAAGAGACTCTTGAAACAGACTGAGGGTTGTGGAGGGGAGGTGGGTGGGGGAGCAGGGTAAGTGGGTGATGGACATGAAGGAGGGCACATGATATAATGAGCACTGGGTGTTATATACAACTGATGAATCACTGAACTCTACCCCTGAAACTAATGATGCACTATATGTTAACTAACTTGAATTTAAATAAAATTTAAAAAATCATCTTTCTTGATTCAGAAGCAACTCCAAATAACAAACAATGACAAAAACTTGAAAAATTACAAAGAAGCCTTTCAGAAAAATATGTACACAAATAAACTGAGTAAAATTTCTATGTAAAACTCTTCTTGTTTTTTCCTACTAGCACTAAACAAAGCTAAAGTCTCTTCCATATGAAAACAAAACGAACACACTCTTCCCTGAACCCTATGTCATGCTTCATTTGCCAATTCCCTGCCTTCCTGTTCACTGGGAACCATCTGGAAACCTTGACAGGGTGTGCTGTATCCACTTCCTCATCACCTATCTGTTCACCACACAAAATCTGGCTTCTGCTGCGCCACCACCTCAAAAACCTGTTCTCTCACAACTGGCCAGAGTCCTGTTACCACACCCAATCTACCCGCCATCTTTGACAGTGTCGTCCACTTCTTCCCTCTTGAAATGCTACCTTCTCTTGGCTTCAGTGACACCACGCTCTCCGATTTCCAGTCTCCATCTCTGCCCTCTGGACTCCCCTCTTTCTGTCCTTCCCAAAAATACCAATGCTCCTGGGTATTCCATTCCAGAGCTTGACCTGTCTCTCTGCACACTTCCCCTGAGCTGGCTCATCCACCACACCACCTGAATCCAATTATCTGTTATGCTGATGAACTCTGAATTTAATCTGAAGCTTTTCTGGGCTTGCTTCAACTGCTGACTTGGTATCTCCACAAAGATGTCTCACCAAGCACCTCAAATTCAACATGCCCAACCTCAGGAGAGCTCCATACATAAACAAGTTCCTTACCACCCTATTTACCTTCCTCATACACTCTACTTTCTCTTCTCTTTCTCTAGGTGAAAAGCACAGCTCAGGCCAAACCCTCCACTCATACACCTGTTCAAGTTACATGGTTTCTGCACTTTTCTCCACCTGTTGGATAATTCCTATCAGATTACAACCATGGTGTTATCTCTCCCATCTAAAAACAGAAACAAAACACAAAACTAACTTCTTTTGAGATAAATTTCTCCTCTGGCTACTGCTTCCTTGCACTGCTTGCTTTTAGGAGATTCCCACCACTATTCTGTTTTCCAACTGCTCTCCTTCAAGTCTTGGATCCCACTGTGGGGTTTTTGCCCCTCCTGTTCCACTGATTGTTCTTATCAAAGTTACCAATAAGCCTCATATTGTTAAAATTCAACTGTCATTGTTTGGACCTCATCTTACTTGATTCAGACCTGACCTCACGTAACATGTAGACAGATTTGATATGCTTCATCACATGGTTTCCAGGAACCAAATCAGCCAGTCTTCTTCCTATTATTCTTGGCTGTCCACTTGGCTGTTTCTTCCTCATTTCCAAAGTCCTAAAGACTTTGGAGCACCCCAGGGCAGTGCTGAACCTCTTTTCTATCTCTACCAATCACTAAGTGATCTCACAGAGTCTCACTGTTTTAAATACCATGTAAGTGATAAACTACTCCCAGGATTTTATCTCTAGCCCTAAAACCCAGGCTGATCTACCCAATGACCTACTTGACATCTCCATGTGGGTGTCTAGTGGGCATCTCAAACATGTTTAAAATGAGCTCCCAGTAATACTCCTATCCCAAATGTGCTTCCCTCGCACTGTTCTCTCTAAATGGTAACTATAATCTCCTAACTGCTAAGGCCTGAAACCTCAGTATCATCCGTGATTCTTCTTCTTCTTCCTTTCTCCCTCCATATCTAGTCCACCAGCAGAGACCAGTGTCTCTGGTCAAGGAATCTAAGAATTCCAACACATCTTACCACCACTTCTGCCTCTACCCTAGGCCAACCCACCATCCTCTTGGGCCTGGACTACTGTGATAGCCTTCTAAATCATTTCCACGCTTTTCTCTTATCTAAGTCAGACTGTTCTTAACTCACCCTGTTAAAACACAACCCAGTATTTGTCAATTTTCCACTCAAAATCCTGCAGTACGTCCCTGCAATGGTTTTATTCAGAGCAAATAACCAGAAGTCACCTGTCACAAAGCCTTGTGTGATCTGGCCCGGGTCCCTCTTGTACTTATCTCCTACTACACTTTCCCCTTAAGTCTACCTTGGCCATATTGGCCTCCTTATTATTGTATTTAATAGACTTTATTTTTTAGAAAAGTTTTAGGTTCATAGCAGAGATTTCCCACATACCCCCTGCCCCCCAAACACAGGTACAGCCTCCCCACCCCACCACCCCCACCAGGGTGGAGCATGTGTTTCGTCAGTGAACTTGCAGTAGACCCATCAGCATCACTCAAACTCCAAGGCTTATGTCAGGATTTGGACACACGTTCAACGACATGCACCCACCATCACAGCATCACGCAGAGTAGCTGCACTGCCCTGGACATCCTCCTAGACACCTCCACCCTCCCCCAAGCCCCGGCAAGCACTGATCCTTATACTGTCTCCCTAGTTTTGCCTTCTTGTTATTTTTTTAACAGACTGTACTCCGTGTACTCTTCTCCTACATCTGTAGAGATGCCTCCCTACTTTCTTTAGCCCTTACTTCAATTACCTTCTCAGCGTAATTTCCCCAGACCAGTCTATACAGACAATTTAATTGCCCCCTCAATGCTTCATGGCCCTGTCTTGTGCAGTATTTTTTGTTCTTGGCATTTATCATTACCTAATATATTCTATATTTTACTTATTTTGTTTGTAGACTTTCACCTAACTAAAGGAAAGCTCCATAAGGATAGAGATTTTTTTTTGTCTATCCACTGCTACGTTCCCAGGGCCTATAACAGTGCTTTACCCACCATAGGTCCTAAAAAAATTTTGTTGAATGAATGGACCAAACTAAATAAATTTTGGCTTCCAATATAAGTTGAGAATGACAATAGCATGCATTCAGCTGCCTAAAAACAGGATCCCGGGTCCCAGCAGCAATTTCTCACATCTGGCCATTATGGCACCCAAGTTCTGGGTCTCTGGGACCTTCCGAGCCCACATGCTTCCCTCCACCTTCGCGGTCAGCACCTACGGTCCTGTTCATTTCCCACAGCCAGGTTCCTACCTGCCATCTGCCCCCCTCAGTCTCACTCCACACAGAAACAAGAGTGATCTTTCAAAACCACGAGTACCACCCTGTCACCTGCCTCCAACGGCCTCAGGATGACGCCCAAACTCCTTGCCCTCCTTGATGATCTTGCCTCTTACTTCCCTCTGCAGACCCACTTCTCATCCTCTCATCTGGCTTTCTATGGCTTCACCATCAGGAACAGCCTAGTCTTCTGAATGTGCCATGCTCCCCTCTTTTCCTCTCCATCCTAGCACATTCTGCTATGTCTATCTGGACACTCTTCCATAGTTAGATAATTTATTTCTTTGGTCTTAACTTAGACATAATTTTGTCCAAAAAACCCAGACATACCGAAGTTATCCTTCGTGCCTCGTCTACGGGAACTCCTGCATTTTGCCTGCACTTATAACTATCCCGTGTGCTTGCCTGTCATGCTGTAGTATAATTTCCTATTTACTGATCTTGGCTTTGGGCTCCTTAGGACTGGGATACGTGGACTGCCCATGTATCTTCAGCCCCTGACACACAACAGGCATTCAGGAAATATTTATTAAAGAGTAAATAACTTGATTCTTACCTCTCTCTCCTGTTTTTTTCCAATTTGTCTTTCAAAATCATAATTTCCTTGTTGAGAGCAAGTTGCTGGCCTTCTGAATCATGAAGTTCTTTCTTCAGATTTTTAATTTCATTTGCATGTATTCCTTCTCTTTTAGACAATTCTTCTTCATAAAAGATACTTTTCTTTTCTAAATCAGTCTTTAGTTTGGTTATCTCTTGCTGATGTTCTATGCTGCATAGTCCTGGCGAGTAACTAATTTGTTTTTGCTACAGAAGTAATAAGAAAAAATTGGTTCATCTATAAAAATAATAAAATATCAAATAACTTCTTTCTATAATATAAAGAACTGTTCATATAGCTGAATACTATTTTTGTATATTATCACATAAACAATATTTCTTTATTAAGGCTATTCACCTTTTGTCGGCCACATGTTGCAAATACTTTTCTCAGTATGTATTCCCTTATTGCGTTGTGTTTTATAGCCTTCTTTACACCAAGATTATATATTTATCTGTAATTTCTGCTCATAGTTATATAATTATTTGTTTATATTTAAATTTCTAATGTAGACACAATTATTGTTGGTATATGGAGTGAGAGAAAAATCTAACTGCAACCTATTTCTGATGTGGAACCAATAAAGGATTATAAGTATGCTTGTGTCTTTAGAAGATTAAATGGGGGTAGGGAATGACAGTACAAAAAGGAAAGAGAGGGGGCTTCTCCAATGGTCTAGGGAGAAAGAGAAAGGTCTAATCAAACATTTTCACATCTATTAGAAAAAAATGATAGGTTTCTTGACATTTAGGTAGGGCATTAGACACAAGAAATTTAGTTGAAAGCCAACTTCTTAGAAACTTGGATGAAATATATTCTCAGTAATAAGGTGCAAGGAAAACACAAAGTCCAAAGCTTCTTCCAGACTGTGGCTAAAGGGTGAAAAGAAACATACAGAGATTATGCCTGTAAGACATCCTAAGCTTTGGAACTTTTCCATTACTTTGCTATATGCTATTTTCCCAAGTGGTCAAGGATAAATTTTTAAAACCTAAAGAACCTGGGTTTATGTTTAGTGATACAAGGAATCATGCCCTGGAGGACACTGTGTCCTTTTTTGACAACAGGAATAAGGGCTGAAAACTGTTAACAGAAGTTGATTTAAAGCTGAAAGAAAACTATGCTCACTTCTTCACATTTGAGGTACATACTTTAAAAAAAAAAAAAAAAAAAAAGAACCCAGAGACATCAACTGGGCTGGAGAACTGTCTCTGGGGTATCCACTGTACTATTTAACCATTTACTAAAGCACTACTGATGGCACACCTACTGCACGCAAGACTTGGACCATCCAGCATTTTGGGGGCAGCCTGTCTCGCAATGCTTGGCCGAACCAGGAAGAGCCACAGCCAGTCCGACTCTGGCTCCATGTGTCTCCACAAAAATGAGGCCTAAATCGACATCAGTAGTCCTGACCACTTACCAATATGGCTCTTTCACTTTTTTCATCACCTACAAAACAATCTTAGTTTGCTCTTCTGGTTTGTATAGTTTGGCTGTTGGGATAGCAGCAGCATGCACTGACGTTTCAAGCAAAAGTTACCCTGATATCAAAACCTAACAAAGATACCATCAGGACAAGTCATAGACTCAAGTCGCTTGTTGATAAGGATGTAAAAAAAGTCAAAGTGTTGATAAAATCAAACCATATGTAAAAAAGAACACTCTACCCCAAAGAACAGATCTTACTGCAGCTACTGAAGGTAATTTAATACTAGTAAACTTGTTAATAAATGTACAAAGATGGCATTACTTTAATGTATTAAATTAAAATAAATCCATATGATACTCTCACTAGGTACCCATGTCCAAAAGTATTTGAGAAAATCCAATACCCATTCCAAATACTACTCCAAATCCCACAATAAAACAAAACAAAAAATAGTAAAATGATTCTCCTTTACCCATTTTCCAGCTATGAGACAAAATAATACCTATTGGTGAAGCACCAGAAATACATACGAGAGATTAAGGAATAATCACAAAAGGGGTGTCTGCCATTATTTCTTACTTAGTATTAGTTTTTAGATATTCTGTCTGAGCAAGTAACATGTGCAATAATTATAAGAAATGAATATTATGAAGGAAAGTGATAAAACCATTATAATTTCCATAGAATTGTTTGCCCACGAAATGTAAATAAATCCACTAAAAATGTTACACCTGATAAAGCTGCATAAAGCAACTGCAGGTAAGATAAACACAAATCAACAATACTCCTGGGGAGTAGAATGAGCAATAATAAAACGCAGTAAAAAATTTCATTGTTAATAGCAAAAATAATCAAAGAAAAATTATCAGAAACTAATACATGCACGTGAGGAATAACAATAGTAACTTGTCTGAATTATATGAAGAAAGGACAAGTCTTTATAAAAGACATAAAAGAAGACTTGAAACAATATAGAAAAAAACCTACTACTTGAAAGATTAAATGTATAGCTATTTAATATTTCTCAAGTTATATTCCTTGTAAATATAAAAAACAATTAAATATAGGAGATGGCACACAGGTGTTCCTTGTAAAATACACTTGTAAAAATGCCAAAGAAAATCCTGGCGGAAAAAAGGAGAAAAGAGGAAGAGAAGAATGTTCTTTTCAGCTTTTAAAACATACTATACAAATCTTTAATAAAATCTCAGGGTAATAGAGCTCTATATCAAAATAATTTTATACAATATACGAGATGTCTTTAATCACCAGGGCAGGCAGTGATTAACTAATTGGAACCACCAATTTAGCAACAAAAGAACAAAATGATTCTCACAACATCCTATCTAGCAAAACAAATTCCAGGTAACCTAGATTTAAATATATTTAGAAGTTTTTTCCCCACACTTCTCAATAGTTTAATAAACTGATAACTATTTAGGGGTTGTTAGACTGTATATATGATGTTTGTTAAACCGAGCACAATTCTAAGTAAGCACTGATAGGCTTTGGTAGGGAGAACTAAGTACATGGACAGTTGCATGAACAAGATGACCATTATACTGTATTATTAAAAAATAACTTATCTCCTATGGTGTAGTTTATAAATATCTGAAAGAAATCACAGGACAATTTCACAACATTCTCAAAAGGGAGGTTATGTGGTTGAAATTTTTTCAAGAGACAGAATTTTGTACATTCAGAAAAATAAATCATCTTTGTACATCCATTGTTAGACACTGCTTTAGCTAATGAATACTGAGTCATGATAATTAAATTTCTTGGAAAATAAAGGATATAAACCATGAAAAAAAATAAATACATTTAGAAGTATACAGAAGTATATTTGACTAGAATTAAATATTTTTAAACCCAATAGAAACATCCAGGAAAAGGCAGAATTACATACTTAACAAACTCTGAGAAAAGGACAAGCTAAGCTTTGAAGCAATAAAAGAAACACTGAGGAAAATAAGAACAAACCTCCTGTGATTTGAAAAGGAAACAAGACCAAAATTAAAGGTCAAAAGATAAAGGAATAAATAGTTGTAGAAAAATGGAAGAAAAAGTATCATTTTCGCTATCGAAGAGTTTATATGAATTATAAGAGAAATATTCAGACTCTAAAATTAAAAAGACAAATAACTTAAAGGAATAATTCACAAAGAAAAATAAGATTAATAAACAATCTACTAATAAGGCAAGAAATGCCTCTTATACTTGCAACAATTTGTGGCCCGCATCTAGTGCCTTAAAATGATCTGACAATTTCATTTCTAGGTATCTGTTCTAAGAAATAATATCAAAAAGGCAATGCACAAAAGTGTTCATTGTAATGACAGTGTTGCAAAAGTGAAACATAAATATTCAATAGTAGAGAACTGGATTAAGTGGGTATCCTTCTAATATCATTAAAATTATGTGATAGTGGGACGCCTGGGTGGCTCAGTCATTAAGTGTCTGCCTTTGGCTCAGGTCATGATCCCAGGGTCCTGGGATCGAGCCCCACATCGGGCTCCCTGCTCGGCTTCTCCCTCTCCCACTCCCCCTGCTTGTGTTCCCTCTCTCGCTGTGTCTCTCTCTGTCAAATAAATAAAAAAATCTTAAAAAAAAAATAAAATTATGTGATAGTTATGTAATGAACATAAATGCTTGTCTCACACTTTCAAATGAAAAATACACATGTTAAGGGTGATTTATGTCCCTCCAAAATTCATGTTAAAGCATTAACCACCAATACTTCAGAATGTGTATTTTAAAATGTGGTCTCAAATACAGCATGATCTGACTTATATGTGGAATCTAAAAAAGTCAAATTCTGAGGAGCAGAGGGTAAAATGGTAGTTGCCAAGTGGGAAGTGGAGGAAATGGGAGAACGTTGGTGCAAGGGTACAAAAACTTCACACAGGTAGGATGAGTAAGTTCTGGAGATATAAGGTAAAGCAGGGCGACTAAAGTTAACAATACTGTATTATGTACTTGAAATTTCTAAGAGGGTGGATCTTAACTGTTCTCAGCCAAAAAAAAAAAAGATAACTAAGTGAGGGTATGAGGGTATGTTAATTAGCTTCTTGTGGTATGTATTTCACAATGTACACATATATCTAGACATCACAATTTATACCTTAAATATATACATTTTTTATTTGTTATATCTCAATAAGACTGGAAAAAAAGAAAATAAAAGTAGGGTCTTTACAGAGCTAATTGACTTAAAATGAGGTCATTAGGGTGGGCACAATAGAACTGTGTCCTTATAAAAAGAAGAAATTTGGACTCACGGTCTTGCACACAGGAAGAAGGCAGAGATTCAGGTGATACATAAGCCAAGGAATGCAAACCATGAGAAGCCAACCCCGTCAACACTTTGATTTCAGACATCTAGTTGCAATGATTGAGACAATAAATTCCAGTTTCTTAGGCCACCCAGTTTGTGGTAATTTGTAGCAGCCCCAGCAAACTAATACAACAGGGTAAAAAGCTCTTGTAGTACATGATCACAAGAACTGAAAAGTATTTTTTTTAAAACAGCCTTATTGAGATACTATTCACATACCGTATTATTCACCCATTTAAAGTGTATAATTCAATGGTTTATGGTTAATTTTAAGTAGTAAAATATATATACCATAAAGTTGTGCCATTTTAACCATTTTAAGAGTAGAATTCGTTTTAAGTGTAGAATTCAGCTATTAATTACATTCAGAATGTTGTGCAACTATGACCACTGTGTATTTCCAAAACTTTTTCATTATCCCAAAGAGAAATTCTCTA